ATCACATGTTTTTTCTGTGTGGCATGGTCTGTGATTGCCGTTTTATTTATCCTACCTTCTTGGGTTTCTGTATCTTTCCGGTGTTCACCAAGGCGAACCCCAAATCGCCTTCCAGTCTCTCCAATATACGATGCGTCGCAGTTTTTGCATCCGATTTTGTATACGCATTCTGCGACGTTTTCTTTAGGTGTTTTATCCTTAGGGTGTACTAGGATATTGCGAAGCGTCTTGTGGGGCGTCATGGCTGTTGCAATGCCATGACCGCGATATATCCACTGGATGGTTTCGGATATACCCTTTAAATACGGGATAACCACTTGACCTTTGGTTTTGTTCTTATCCTTGATTGGCCTTTTCTTGTTCTTCTCCTTACTTTGACACTGGGTTTTTTTACGCGTTTTAGGGCCTCATTCCGGATATGCACATGTTCTCATTGCCCTAGCGATGTGATTCTGCTCTTGTGTTTTGTCCTGTTGTTCTGTGACTATTGTATCACATCTGTTGAGCAATGTGCGTATGACGCCTAACGTCTGGTGTAAAGGATGGTGAGATTTGAAGTTCAGGTATTGGTCCGTATGAGTCTTTTTTTCTATAGACCAATACCTTCACGGTTCCGTCTTCTTTCTTTACAAGTAGAATGTCTAGGAAGGGCATTGTGCCATAGGTTTCTTCCTCACATGTAAATTTGATGTTTTTAGTGGCATCTATAGTGTTGATATGAATGGTCAAATATTTCTGTGACCATAGACCTATGACAGTGTACATATCGTACTAGTCATCGAAACGTCACATAGAAAATGTTATTGGTTGTGTAAAACGAACTTCTCATAATCCATACTTACCAACCCGAAGAAAATGTTTAGAAATACCCAGAGGATGTTCTACAATACAAATAAGAAGGAACGAGCTTACAGCGAAACGAATAATGTATATTGCCTTAATGTCAGCTTACACATCATTTTGAGATCTCGCAGGTTTGTACTTATTTCCGAGGAACATAATTGATACGCATTAAGCGTATACATCTTATTACGAGATGTATGATTGTTTATTCGTATGATACTTTAAAATATGCATGATGATTAACGCGAAAACCTAAGCTTTATAATATGTATGATGATTAACGCGAATATCCTCTAAGACATATTTCTCGTGTAACCTAAGCTTTATAATATGTATGATGATTAACGCGAATATCCTCTAAGACATAGTTCTCGTGAAACCTAAGCTTTATAATATGTATGATGATTAACGCGAATATCCTCTAAGACATATTTCTCGTGTAACCTAAGCTTTATAATATGTATGATGATTAACGCGAATATCCTCTAAGACATAGTTCTCGTGAAACCTAAGCTTTATAATATGTATGATGATTAACGCGAATATCCTCTAAGACATATTTCTCGTGTAACCTAAGCTTTATAATATGTATGATGATTAACGCGAATATCCTCTAAGACATAGTTCTCGTGAAACCTAAGCTTTATAATATGTATGATGATTAACGCGAATACCTAAGCTTTATAATATGTATGATGATTAACGCGAATATCCTCTAAGACATAGTTCTCGTGTAACCTAAGCAATGTAGAGTTGTGTGCAAACGAATCAATATCTACTATTGTTTGATGAACAAACATGTCTATTCAAACCAAAGGCGAAACCAACAATTGAGAGTATCACCTTTGATTCGTACCATGGCATATTGATTAAGTATTTGTACTATAATGTGTGGGCATTATAGTAGACAAATATATCATAAACCATCACACACGTGCTCAAAACACCAGTCAGGTTGTTGTGAGTTATGTATTAAACTACAGTTGTGGGACCGCACAACGCACCAAAAATAGCGTGCCCACACTGTGCATACATCGTTCACACACCGTCCGCACATCGTTCACACATGGTGAGCACAACTGTGCGATTTGGTATCATTTGTAGATCAAAATTACGGAATGACAAAAATACGGAAGGCTTGTATGCGATAATGTACACTGTCTATATATCTGTAATTTCTCATCACAATAATCAAGATTATACAATTTCACAATGCGTGTTACACAGTATTACAGTGGCTGTCAAGAATGGGTTTGGCTCCAAGGTAACAGAACAGGTAAATAACAATTTGATGAGTGTCCGGAGTTTTACCTGACCAGTGCCTGACATACAGAGCTGATATGTGATACCGTTTGACCGTAATGAATAGTATTTGTTATTTGCATTTGTTTGCCTATAGCTCCCCTTCACATGGATTTTCCCACCCCCGGCCTTACCCGACGAGTTACGTAAGTGCCCCAGGCGGTGAGATAACTACGGTCCAGGTACATGTACAAAGTGGTTATGTTTACCTGTATACGGGATTGGGTTGTAATTTTACATGTTTCGAATAAGTTTGTTTAAAAACACAGAAAACACAATTTCTAAATATAAGAATGTATAGACAGAAAGTTAAGTTTATAGATGTTGCTAGAATATAGAAACATACGTAAACATCAAGTTTATATGTTTAAACATGAAACCTATAAATTGTTAAGGCATTCCTTAATTTACACCAACCACGATTGTTATCGCACAACGTCCGTCCATCGTGCGCACATATGTGCGCAAGCAATGATCGTCCAGCTTTTTATCGTTCGCCCATCGTGCACACACCGTTCACACACCCTGTACACATCGTGCGCACACCGCACATCGTGTAACGTTGTGCGATCCCACAACTGTATATTCCAGCTGTCGATATCTCCCGTCGATGTAATATTCTGTCGACATGAGCCAACATTCGTTACCGGATACATATGTCCAGATACGGGATGATAACTAAAGCAAATGTTCAGTTTGGGTCCCTTCGAGACTTAAAGTTTTTTGTTTTGAGTCTGCAGAAAACATGAATGGAAAAAACAAACTGGAGTTATTGAGTTAGATGACATTTTAGTCGAAACAAATTAATAGAATACAAATGTTCGAAGCATTTGACAGTGACGATACAGGTGTGTCTGAGAAAGTTTGAAAATCAATCTACAACACGAGAAGGAAAATGCAGAACTCACTTCTCGAAGGCTTACGAGGTAGATATAAGCAGCTCGGCCAATCTGCAGTCTAATGTGAAAACAATTTTCTACCACAATACGCTGTGTTATTCCACTCTCAGATCATTGTATAAACATGCAGACTGTTAGATAAATATGAGTTATATACCACACGTGGTATATGACCTGCAAGAGTTTTGATTGGTCGAGGAGATGAACTTTGACCGGGACGACTTTTTCCACTTGCTTTTTGGCACTTGCTGTTTTGTTTTCGTCTTCTGCTATCAACATCAGACAAATGTTGGTGACTTTGTGAGGTTATGCGGAAAAGGGGGTTATTAAGGCAATATTAAAAGAAGATGATACTTAAAGATTTGATCGCTAGTTTCAGGCAAAATTGCTACAGACGGTCGGTATCGTTTCGACGTCACACCGTCGCGTGTCTAGGTCGTGAAACCAAAACAATTTAAGATCTGTCACATTGTCGGAAAATATTTCGTTCTCCCAACGTCCCGTTATGGCTATTTGGACGGCCTGACTATGGCTGAACTCTCACTATGAACGTCAACCATAGAACTGTCAAGAAGAAACGTAGGCCTATGGTTTTGGACATTGACAGCGATAAGTTAGTCACTTGGCGGGAGGCGGACATCGTACGATATGCTTACGCGCATATAGTCCGTGGTTAATTTATATAAATCAATGAAATACGGCTACTCTCAATATTTAAACTCGTTCATCTATTATATTTTTTCATGAAGTTGTTGCCGAAACATTAATTTTGACAATTATAGAATTTGTAAAAAAGAAGTTGTTTTTGAATATCAATGAGTGACTTTTTACATATGGGTCATATCACTACGCCAGCCTTGTCAACAAATACACGTGTGTATGTTATTTCCGACTGATCATGAGATTGTGGTAGAAACAGATCACACGATTCGTGGTTGTTGAGAATGGTATTTATTTCACTCTCGTTAGTTAATTTTCAAAAGTTACAAAAAGACACTTGCTAAAGCTTGTGTCTTTTATAACTTTTGAAAAATAACTAACTAATAAATACCATATTCAACAACCACTCGTTGTGTAACCTCTATTTATAATACACTCTGATGGTATTTTATTTACTCAAAACAGCAGACCGCTGTCGTTGTAGGTTTCGCTGTATTATGCAACGGTATTTAGAAATTTGTCAATATTACAGTAGTTTAATAACAAAGCTTTTAACCAACTGATCTCTCGGCACATAACTATTATCTTCATTTATAGCGAATTTAAGGGGGGAATAAGTCTCTACTAGCAATACCTTGCATTTCTTTAGCTTTAAACTACGGCAGAAATGGCGTTCATTTAAGTTAAAAACATCGAATTAATTTATAGCATTACTGGAAGAACTTTTAATAATAATTTCAGATATATTGATGGTAATTTTCGATACTTCTTAATCGGAATTTGACTTTTATATCTGAAAACCTGTTTTGTTGGTCGATTTATAGATATGTTTGTTCCTCTATTGGTCCAAACCAAACATTTTCTCTGAAGTATTCCGGATCGATTAACTTCATATCTCATTTCATGAACAACTCTAGCAACATATCAATAGCATTAACAGCATCAATATATCGGACTATTTATTTTATGGCAGTGTTCAGGTTTTCATAGATATTCATTTTTTTTAATGATATTTCAAGTAGTGTTTAAATTCATGCACTGTACTATCACTTTAATGCTTTATAAAAAGAGACTTTCGGTGGCAAACAAAAAGTGTTTACGTTAAGACAAATTATAAGGATTGTTAGCATTCTTGTGCATAACGAACAAGCATACTTAGACCAGACATTAAGTTATTTTTTTGTACAGTACAATCTATGAATATACCAACGGAACTGTAAGGGAGAAGAGACCTGAACAGTTCCACCGTATAATTCATCAATGTTTGTGACACAGACAAGACACAGGATACAGAGTATAAAACAGGTTTTATTGATTTTATAACATGGATTATCTCGTAAGTAACATTCGAGAAGACAGAGCGAAGCGCGATAAAGTCATTCGTCTGAAAATAAAAATACAGAGTCTAGTTTACGACACGCATTATGGGTTTATCGACAGGTTATGGGTGATCTAGTCAAGCGATGTGATGCCCTTTTACTTTCAATCATACCTTACCCGTTATATTATATGACATGCAGAAAATGGCTTGATCTGTTTGATATTTACCTTCCACTTTATTGAGATGACATATAAAGATATATTCAGATGAAGTATTACTGTTTTCTCCATCTTCGTTAAAAACACTAGGTCAAAAGAGTCTCCTTCATCCAAGGATCCCTCATTTTGCTAATGTAGTGAAATGTAACATTTTCAACATTTTCTTCGCTTTTAAAATGCAATTTATGGCAACTTCATTGATTTCCATAAGTGTGTAGTAGGTACCAAAACGGGTTAATGTTTATAGTAAAAGGTACCTTCGATTTAAACTAAAGTATAACCAGTATCACTACTATGAAATCAAATAAAAATCACATGTATGCCATGCATTTTAAGGTATTGTAGTTGTTAGAAATAATAACTTGAGAAAAAAAAGATTGATAAATAAATAAATATGCAAACAGCAGGGGTAGAACCAATGTTTCCGTATAGAAAATGCACAAACACGGTATCAACATGAGTGTCCAATTCCTGGGCCGCAATTGAAGCCAGAAAATTTCATTTTTTTGGTTGCTTATGTCAAGTGAAGGGAAATAACTCTGAGTGGAACACTTTTTTGCGATTATACCTGATATAGTGGAACCCTTTAACCTAACATAACTTATGAAACTAGTGCGTTATAATGAGAGCGTGATAGCAACAATTGCTCGTTGGTTACGTGTTACAGAAATCGATATATGATAATATAAGCACAGCTGTAATAGGAAATGTAATGTGTCAAATTACACCTAACATTTTCTGAAGACACAAACATTTAACAATTACATTTCACATACAAAGAAAATGAAAAATGACCAAAGAGCTACTTTATCACTGTAGTACTAGTTTGTAACATTTGATTTTCCGCTTGCCTTCACTAAAGTATATTTCTATGAAGAGTTGTGCGTAAACATTATCGCTATAGTTAAATAATTCGATATCACACACATTTCTTATGCTTAGCACATTTGCAGGGGGCCTTATTATTGATTTCCGTATTCCTATCATAAACGCTGAAGTATATACGTTTAAAATAGTTATGGTTCGCGCACCCGAGGATTTTCCTTAATGGTGTCTCAGTCGACATGAGATTTTTTATTTTGTTATTTGTGAAAAATGGTTGTGCTATAAGTCGGGTTCGACGTGTAACCTCAATTTACCAGCAAATAAAAAGTACTTGTAAGTAATCAGTATATGTAGTTCACAGGTATAACTATAATAAAAACGTTCATATAAAATATTTAAAGCACAACGTACATGGATCCTATTGAAAGGTGTTAATTTCTACATTGTTTTGACTTTAACATCCCCTGTTTTCTTCTTCTTTTATATCTGCTGTTTATTCATTGTTTCATGTTAAGAGGAGAGTTTCTTGAAAATATTACAAGAATACTTCATGTTTTTCATTTGAAACCTAACATCTAACCGTAATATGAGTTGTATACCTGAGAATGTTTCCATGGCAACAATCTTGATGAAAAACGGGGACTGTTGAGTATAATATAGACATGGAACAGACATTGTACCTGTTCGTCTGTCAGGTTTAAACGTTCACATGCCTGATATTGTTTAAGGCACTGTAGAATGATAACATCAAACTACTGAAGACCCGATGCTGGTTAAGGAAAAACGAATAAGATCATTCTTCCTTCTTAACAAGTACTTGTACTTGATCAATTGATTGTCGTCCTCGGGATGAAGTCGGCGTCCTCATAGGCGTCTATAATATCGTCCTCTAGACTGTGGGCCTCTGCTGCCTTCATGTCCTTGATCAGTTTCAGCCGTTCCTCCCTCATGGCGCGGATTGCCTCCATCTTCTCGTCACGAAAAGATTTACCGTCTTCCCAGATCTTGCGCACCATTGTCTGGTAGCCCTCATGGGTGTTTATCAGCTGCAATAGCAGTAACAAAGCAAGTTTTATCAACAGTAGATTCAGTCTAAACGGCGAACAGCATGTACACCTACCAGGTTCCTGATAATGCCAACTTTATTGAATATATGATACATTTTCTGTTTTTATTTTTTATTTTGATGATATGTGCCAAGCATACTTTTGTCAAGAAATAACAAGAAAAACTATTGCAATAAAAGATCGACATGTTTTATGGGGCTTACGTCTTTATAAAGTATATATAAGCATATGATTGTTATAAATTTGTTTTATAATTGAATAAAATAATGTTTAACTAAATTAGATGTACAAGATACGCCATATTTCCAGAGATCTAGTTCTTGGAACTAATTTGATAGTGTGCACATTGTCCTTATCTATTTCAATATTGTTTAACCCAACATGCATGCCTTCTTATCCTAGGGTGACATAATGGAAAGGTCAAAAACAATTACAAATCAGAGGCAAGAAAACTTACACATGGCTGAAGTATTGCAATGGAGAGAAACATATACTTAATTAAAGGGTCCTACTAAAAATGTCTCTGTTTATTTAATTATGACAAACGTTTTTACAACCCGAATGTTAGCGCGCGGGGGCTTTTAATGTGGGATACAAGATAACATTTTATTTTTTCCGACAGAGTCGTGAATTAAAGAAAATATGTTGCCTACACATATATTAAATCATATATGCTGTTAAACATCTACACGATTAAAAAGTTTTCTTTTCACACGTACAAGCCTAAGGTATTGTATTTGACTTACAGTCTGAGTGAGGTCGATTTCTGATTTCTGCATGGTCTGTATGTTCATCCCGCCTTTCTGTACGTTGTTCACGTTATCGTCCACGTTCTGTAGGTGGGTCTGGATGTAGTCGATCCTCTCGTCAAGCTTACTGGCGACCCTCTCGATCAGACGCCTCAGTTTATCCTCAGCAGCATCTGTTACCGACACAGAGCTTAGTGTAGTACAGATAGTTTAACACATATTTAATCTGACGTTTCAAACCGCTACATCATGTTTACATTTGTACACTGATTCAGTTTGAACATCGATGTTTTGTGAGATATACCTCGTGTGTTACAAAAAACATTGCATATAGTAACGTCATAGCTAAAAAGGGATGACGTCATACATCCTAGGCAATGCTGTTTGCTACTAGGTTTGATACTTTTGACGAACTGTGTCATGTCGGTAGTATAGTGATATATCTTGAGCAGAATCTCAAACTACAAGTAGTTCACAATTTCAAAGGGTAAATTTAGAACTCGTTTCGAAATTCGGATGAACTGAATTAATACCTCTACTTCCGGCAGCCATCAAACATCAAGTTGAAATACTCATATCTATTCCTTTTAGTTACCCATCGAAATGATGCATTTTTCATGTTTATTTCTTTATTTAAATTGCAATATCAGATGGGTTCAATCTACAAATATAAATCTAGAAAATTTCAGATCGGCTAATATTATTAATTTTATTCATTTTTTTTTCAGTCATTCAAAACACGAAATCAAATATTTAACTTGTAAAACGTTGTCTCTTCTAAACTTTACTATATCGCAGTCAATGTCAGTGGACTATAATGTGTATTAACCTTCATTTAATTACTATATCGTGTAATTTGTAATGGACGTTTTTACCTTCTCCTTCCTCAATTTGTTCCCTCTCTGACTCCAGAATGTACCTCCGGACCAGGCTACACATCACGTTCTGTCAGGGATAGAAATCATCACGATATAGTAAATTAATGTACTGTGATGGAACACCAAACCCTATGTTCCTGTCCTGTCACTTTTTGACTCCAACACATTAAGGGTTATGTACACATTATACTTTAACCGAAAATCCAAAAATCGCAGTTTCTGGATTGCAATCTGAAAAACCTGCTTAAAAATTTATTATGATTTTTTTCCCTACAGCTTAGCTGTAAAAGAAATTGAATGGTTATTTTATTCACATACCAATTTCCTGGATCGCATCAATTTAAAGCAAAACTCTATGCCTTTATATAACGTCGATAACGTTTACTTTCTGCAGACAAATACCGTACGTCCACATAATAGCCGAATGCTGTCTGCAACGTCATATAAAGACATACGTAATATGGTATTGATTTATTACATATCTACACTTGTACTTTATATGTATCAGTATATTGATTTTCTGAACATTATTAATCATTATTAAATAGTATTAGTCTACATGTATTTCTCGAAAACCTGACCCCCCCCCCCAAAAAAAAACCCACCGAGTATGACATCGCGTTTTGAGAGCGTTACATGTATCCCCCCGCTTTGTTTCAATATATCGATTAGATCAGTAGGTAAAAACCAACAGGTTCATGATACGAAGTTGTATCACATACCAGGGCAAAAACAACGCTTCTACTTAAATGGGGAAGCTAAATGTTGGTTGTATCATGACCTGTAAATCACAGAGTATGGAATGCATTGTTTTTTTCTCTCTCATGTAAACAATTCACTGTATGGTTCAGCGGGTGTGAACTTATCAGTTTCCTTCTTTCACTCGATCTCTCGTCTCATATCATACTGTACTTCATTGTTTATAAAAGTAGTAAATAGTTTTGTACTCATATTCGAAGAGTGTATTTTCGTATAAAATATACATTGTGTAGCACCAAATAAGGCGGTTTGGTATTAAATACATATCACAAATAGCATTCCTCCAAATACACACGTGTGATGTGTGACATATATACTTGTAGTTAAGTGAAGCTATGGTTTTAAAATTCTCGGTCTTCATAATCGATTTTTCATTCCTAAATATCTACCAATACCTACCAACAAAATAACAAGCTCCTCCATTGCTGATATCACGCAATGTACAATAAAACCACATGAACATGCTTTTCCACTAAGAGCAGTATTATATTGTAAACAGTATGTTTTACGGGGTAAGATACATCCGGGATAGTGAAACAATCGATCTTTACCGAATTTAGTCCTTGAAGTAGTCTTAATGTATACTTCATTACACCACATTTAAAAACAATCCGAAATTGAATAGATTCAGTAAGAAGCGATTGATGTTCTGATTAAGCGTTTTTAGCGGCCATGCCACGTCTATGGATTGTCTAAATAACCATAGTTATAGTTTCACCGCAACCCTTTATTACGTTACAATACACAGGAGGCGCTGTATACATTTGGTTGCATCCGTCTATACAATAAATAGCATTACTCTATTTACTTGTTCCATGCTAGATACAAAATACATATCCATCAGTACAGGATTATTTGTATTTTTACGTAAAACAAACTAAAATGTATGTACAAACCTGATTGGGATGCCATTTGCTCAATGAAGCTAATTGTTTTATGAATTATAGACGATCCACGAACACACTATGTCGTGACAGCATAATATGCACTCTCTTTCCCTCTAATGTTAAGTTCATAACTCCTGCTGAATGCGTTAGGTAACACATATTTTCGCTTGTATTTGTCTTGATTCTTTTTTTAAATTTATTTTTGCATTGTTGGCACATTCTTCCCTTTTCTGGCTCCGGTCCCGTCTATGGTTGACCCATGTTTGCAACACTCTTACCGACGAAATGATGCACGATAATAGAACATTATTTGATCTGTAGAATTGTTTGTTAATTTCAAGTTTACAAAGCGTACACTGTAATATTCAAAATGTAAAAAATGGCTTTTCTAATAAAGCAATCCGATTGATATATGCACTGATGCTGTAGATTTCGCATGACAACATCTATATTGATATGAGGCCAGTATGTTTCTCCACACCTAGAAAAAGAGAAATTTAGCTCCGGAACCTGGGTATATAATTGACCTTTAAATAATATGTCGTTTTAAAGCATTAAGTTAGGCCGAAACAAAAGAGTTTGACATATTATACCGGTGAACTACATGTATTATTCTAATGGCCATAATGTCACTTTTTAATAACTGCATTTAATAACTTCAATAAAAGTTCAGTATACTAATGACCATATCTGATAGCAGCTTTCTGAATTCGGGTCTTTTAATAAGATGTATCAGGGGCCTTGATGACAAAATGTTATGTCTGTTTGGGATATTTTCTTGAACATTCCATGCAAAGACAATGTTTTAGTACAGAACGTGTGTGAGAGATAAGGTATTATGTCGACACAGCATAAACAAAGCACATGCAACCCCAATGTATCGCACCCAACGCCCCGCAAAGTGCAGCACACCAGCGTACCGGTGTCCTCGTAGGGTACTTAATTGATCTATTTGTCATGTCTCAAAGCCCTATAGACACACAAATAACGTAATTCAGAGGCAGGCAATCCGAAAGCAGTAAACGATAGTTGTGCAACGAGTGAAACGGCAATTTTGTATAATGGCTAGAAAAGACAGAGATTTAAAACTTTGTAACGGTTCTGCAGCTTATTTTTTGTTTTCCCTCCAATGTCCCCAAGACAGGAGGACGTTACATAAATCCCTTAAATCTTAATAGGATAAACAATAGTTAACTTATACGATCACTTAGTGGTATCACAACAGGAACATTTCGACGCGTGCATTTGCTGATACATACATTAATCTTGATTTCTACCTTGACGAAACATATAAGTTATAATCATAAGTAACCATTCAAGAGATGAGTATGGTATCTGGCATCAAATTTGAACTGTGTATTAGCAATACAATACATTTTTCGATTGAAAGATAAACAATTTAAGAGAAAGCTTTATTTACCTGACGTGCAGTACACCTTGCTTCTTCTGATTCCATTTTTTCCTGTAGTTTCTGCAAAGAAACATATTTGATGTACAAAGAATAATGGTTAACGTTATGTTTGTTAACTTAGAGTTTCAAATGTTTACTTTCTTCACGTCATGAACTTATCTCTGCAAGTGTTTAAATGAAATAGTGGCTTCAACCAAAACATATACTAAAATAACGTACTTTGTGAATAGTATATTATATGGTAACATGGTTTTGATCGGGATATGTATGAGTATTGTTTTATGATATGCCCACTCCATACACCTAGCAAACATGCATATAACAAGATTTGAAATGAAACATTTTCTGCAGGGTCATTGTCTACACTGATTTAAGTACTTTTGAAAAGTGTACCAAACTTCTCATTCAAATCTCCAGGTAAAAAGTTTATCTTTATCTTCAATTTTCATTTCAAAATCATTTTATTTTAGCAATAAGCAATAGGATTGGGCACAGGTATTGCCTATAAACGCATTGTCCATATAGAAAGACATACATTCCAAGCATATACTGCATATAAATTGAAGATGTGATATATCAAGTTTAGGTAGATACAATGTAGGGTAGGCCGAACCAATGAGCCAGTTTATATATATGTACATAAACACAAGCAGTCTAATTGGAATATCAGGAATATAAAAAGGAACTAAACACAATGCCATATTAACCAGTTAAACTAGAATTGCAAGAAATGAATGATACATAATATAATATGTGGTACAATAAAGTTATAATCTTCCCGATTTTTCTATATAATCCAGGACACAAGAGAGAATAAATACATTTTTTTTAAACTTAATAATTTTCAATTGTTTGTTAAAAATCAAAACAAATATTCATGTATATCATGCAATTAGCTATGCAAGAAAATAAAATGTACCTGGAACTAAAAGTTTAGTATTATTTTTAAGGATTGTAGAAAGCCGTTTAGAATGCATTGAAGCATTAAAAGTATTTGTTAAGAGATTTTTTGTTTTTGAAGAATTAGCTTTGCAATAAGTTTAAGTGAAACTCGAACTTAAATATGAGTATTATTCGTATGGATTGAAGAAAGCCGTTTAGTTTGAATTTAAAAATCAAAGTACGATTAAAAATGTATGGCATGAGTTTACCTTGATTGAGCGTTCTCGTTTTGTACACCACCGGCGTACCGGTTTATGGCACTTCCGGAAAAGTCGGCGGAAGTACTTCCTCATCCAGTTGACTAGTTTACAAATATCTCGCGGGGTTGGTATAACATTGAATGGTGGGGCAACGCAACATCCGGGTTCTATAAATGTAAGCCACAATTCTGTTCTCACAAACTTCCATTCTGTGTCTCGTTCGTCCTTTTGAAAATATAAAAGACAGAAATAGCAAATGTCTGTATCGTAATTTAAGATACAGGTTGTTTTTCAATGGAGTTTTATAGCAATGGCGGATTTGTTTCTGTATAGAAATTAAAGTATATTATTTATATCAATTCGTGCTATGCTATGCTTTCGTGTAAGAAGACAGGGCTTGTATACAAGATACCTGAAAGATTAAGGTGGGTTCAGCTTCATCCATTGTAATTCTTGTCGCTTGGGATTTAGAGAGAACCCTAATGATTTTGAGGGTTTAGTGTTATACCGTTGATATTTCATATATCTATATGAAAATGGAAGTTTAGTTTCCTTTATCAATAAAATTGATTACGCATGTTTTGCAATATGATAAAATAGTTAAAATAGATTTGGTGGAAGCATGGTCTCATATAAATATACATGACTTCCACTTTCCCCTCATCGTAGGATCAGGAAATATGATACTGGATTTGTAAACTTGCTATGGGTGAAATAATAAGTTAAATATTGCTCATAACGTAGTACTGTACATCACTAGACCTACCAAGCAGAAAAATTACAGCGTAAGGTTAAGTGTGTGACATTCAAACAGTTACAAACATTACAGCGTAAGGTTAAGTGTGTGACATTGCTAAGAACTGTCACCGAGTACAAACAGGTACAAACATTACAGCGTAAGGTTAAGTGTGTGACATTGCTTAGAACTGTCACCGAGTACAAACAGTTACAAACATTACAGCGTAAGGTTAAGTGTGTGACATTGCTAAGAACTGTCACCGAGTACAAACATTATCTGACATTTATAGAACCCTCATAAGTACGTACTTAATCCTCTTCGTGGCATGCATTGGACACGTAAGGCAATCGTAATTAACCCTAATTTGTATTGCTTCATAATGAATGCCTGGCGACTTTGGGATTATGTTATGATACGAAGTAGAATGAGGTTTATATTGGATTTGTTACGCCTTATTCATCATGTTTCCAGTAATGGTACGATCATTATACGTAGTATATGCATGATGATCACCTTTGAATTACACAACGCACATTTGGTAATAGCCTGATAAAGGTCAAAATGTATAGCGAAGCCTCTGGCCACTCCATACTAATGTGATCACTCTAACGGCCGTCACTAATCAAACACAAATCATTTTCAATATTTACTTTGATGAACACTTCTCGGTATCTTAAACCACTGGATCCCTACACACTTTCTAGGATTTGTCAGTATGACGGATTGTACACGTGTTGCATTGAACGATCCCCCTTCCCACTTCTCGTGACTCGAGTTATTGCGATAGTTTATAACATATTTTGTTTTTGTCAATGTTCCTTCCGTTCCTGCTGTTGTTTTTTTGTTGTGAAAATGAGAACCGATTTTACCTGTTTGTTTACATTACATTGTTCTTTTCTATATTACCGTGAATGACCTTTCAGTTCTTCAAAGTTTAGAAATATCATTCATGTTTATGCTATTTTTTTCTGTACTGTCCTTTTTCATTTTCGGGTTTGCATTTTTTCTCTATTGTTTTACTGGGTTTTTTCCTCTTCACAATATACTCACACAACGTTTGTGTTGTTTTCGCATGTTCACTTGTCTTGGGTTGCTTTAGGTAACTAATGGCGATATTAACACTCCGAGATTTTCTCTTATTTGGCGTCACAAAGACGTGGAAGGATGGTGTGACTCCCTGCAGTTGTGACGTAACAAGCATAATAATATGAACCTACAACCTTACATAGCTTCTCTTAGTGTTGCTGAGCATGTGCGTAAAATGCTGTTCGTGGTGTGTAATACATTTTTCATCGATATTCAATGAAGGCGTTATCATCAAACCTAAGGCTACATACATGTATGGTCAAGTATTAAAATTAAGGCAATCCTAAATCAATTCGTGTATGCTGTTGACAAACGCCTTATTCATAAACAAGTACGTGTACGCACGTGCCTGGTATTAGAAAATGGTAACGTACGCAGTGACCATAGCGATCTTTATTATATTAGCATCGTGTGGCATTAATAGCGCAGTATATACATTGGTGGAAACAATGAGTGGAAACAATTAGTGTAAACAATGACGACATTCAAACGTAATTGACCGTATAACAATCACCGTATAACAATCACGTATGTATAATGGTATTGACAAAGTGTCGGAATACCGGGAACCGTTAGCCTCTCCTAACAAGCGTTAAACATACGTTATACAATACCGGGAACCGTTCGCCTCTCCTACCAAGCTTTATACATACGTTATACAATACCGGGAACCGTTAGCCTCTCCTAACAAGCGTTTAACATACGTTATACAAAACCGGGAACCGTTAGCCTCTCCTAACAAGCGTTAAACATACGTTATACAATACCGGGAACCGTTCGCCTCTCCTAACAAGCGTTATACATACGTTATACAATACCGAGAACCATTAGTCTCTCCTAACAAGCGTTAAACATACGTTATACAATACGGGGAACCGTTAGCCTCTCCTAACAAGCGTTAAACATACGTTATACAATACCGGGAACCGTTCGCCTCTCCTAACAAGCGTTATACATACGTTATACAATATAAGCAATAGTGTTTAAACTACAGCTTAGTATACCGAAATAATTGACTTCATCAAGATTTTAAACATTCATTCCGACATGTCTATATACGAAGGCATGATTTACCATGTCGACAGTAATAACACTTTATGCCGATAAAATGTTATATCTATTTAATTGTCAGTTCACATATGCAATCGACATAAGTAATGTCGGGAAAAAAAATAATAATGATAAAATAAAATAACAATATTGCACTCCCCAAGACGATTTAAACATAAAGACTCAAGTCTCGACTCCAAACAAAGACGAGAAGCTTCACAAATAAATGCCGAAAAGGTATATAGAGATGTACACAGTGGTACCTGAAAATATGTATGTAGATGTAGAAAATAACAATTTTTTCGTGAAGCATCTTGTCTGTTAGTGGTTTCGATGGTGATTCAACATCAAAATGCTTTGTCTTCGTGGAGGAAGCGCAACCTCATGCCTTCTTAAAGAGCATGTATTATGCTATGTATGGGAGGTTCTTAAAATATTGGTAAACATCTTTCCAATGTTTCCAATAGTTTCTATGCACCTACCAGAAAAAGAAAGAAAAGATATTTTGTAGTGATAGAGTCTGACAGTTTTAGAACTCAAGTGCCTCCCTCCCTTTCCACAAATCATTCCTGGGGATGCTATGATAAAAATCTCGAAAAATAATTTCTCCAATTCAGGACATGTCAAAATATCCACCCTGTATTTGTTGTTTGGTCCCTGTAATCATATGCACTAATTATATATGTGATAATATAAGCTGCAACGTATGAGTGATTAGTAAGCATAATAGCTTTATGTTGTATAATCATAGCACTATGATCGCAAAATGGATCGGTGCCATTTTGAAACGTCCCGTTTCCGATAGCGTGAAACCTTCGTGGGAGCAATCATTTAGGTGAAGCTAGGTTGTTTGGGGGATACTTTTTGTACTGACGATACCCTTAAATACCGCAGTTAGGAAAGAGTGCTTATATTTAGATCACTATTAACTATAAATTAAGAATGGTGTTAAGCGAAATTATTTGAACATTCATGCCGTTATGAACGCAATCGGCTATGTATCAAACTTATCAAATATGAAGCAGTAGCGCACCGCATGCATTATGGATGTAAATGAGCATAATTTTTAGTGCTACTTAACATATTGTTCCTTGACATTTGATCACTGACCTGGATTTCCTGGAACGTGTTAGACATCACGGCTATGAGAAGATTCATGAGGACAACAAGTGCTGCAAATACGTAGATTCCGTACAGGATATAACCAAGGGCAACCACCATCGGGCCGCGCGAGGGGTTGTTCGTTAGTGATGTCATAGGTGCGTCATGACGCAGGTCTGGTGCCTCTCCAGGGCCGAACCCTAGCAATGACCACACTAGAAGGAACAATGTCCCGGCAAATCTGTCATTATAAGGAAGATAAGAAAAATCTGTTAGTGTATTATATTCTGAATTGTATATCAATGAAAATCTAATCTAAGAGCAATACAGGTGTATATGTTCAGTTTATAAGTTGAGTATGAATTGAAATATATCCAATGTCAAATATGGGTCGTTATTTTCCTTATTAAAATTCAATAAATAAATAATTAGTTTATGTGACATTGGCGTTCAGGTTTCTGAATATGTTCAAACAAGGGCGATAAGTAATGTACAGAAAATGACGGAAACTGCTTAGAGTGAAACATATCCCTGATACATCCGGCAGCAGACGCACTCTCGATATTCAATAGTACTGTTGCTGTTATCAATAGAGCATCATCATTTTTATAATACGTTAATACTTTAAGCAGGTTGTAAATCCCGAACAATGACAGTCTGTTTAAGCAACAGCCTGGACCCGTGATCAATACCTTATCTTCAGTATTACCGAACACCTGTGTTACATATCATGGAACACGATATCTGGTATACATTGTTTTACGTTTTGCCGTGTGGTATGTTTACACTAACATGAGTATCTGTATTCCGATGGTTTACTAACCTCATTATTGTGTACTGTATGATTAAGGAACTTAAAACAATACATCCATTTGCAAACTACATTCTGAGCATCAGGTATGAAAAAGAATTTGGTTTTATATGTTTAAGCATTAAAAAGTCAAGTATCTTTTCATTTTTAACCCTTACATCCTTTTCAATGCTTGTCAACAATAAAACCTGACATTGTATTCTCGCTGTCAAATACAATTAAGTCGAAAATGTCGCAAAATATAAAACGTTGACCCAGAAATGGTGATGTTCTCGTTGAAATATAAACACTATAGGTATATAGGACCATGAGCGTATTAGCTGTTTGGATTTCAAATTGTCCACGCCGAATGCGAAAGTCAATATAAAATTGAAACAAGAAATATGAGGCAACAATTTGTGCATAAATGTATAATGAATCAATCAAACTGCAAAACTTAACAATCACGGCCTTCCAAAAGTAACTCCTCCGCAGGTCTTTATTCATTTATTTATTCATTATTCACGTGCGAATAGATAGCACTTCACTTGAAGTGGACAATGGATACTTTCACCAACGGATTACTGTGTACAATTTCGCTGCCACAACTTCCCTCTAACGCTCTGAGTCATTCCAACGTTATTCTTAACACCAGGGTTCAAAGAGTTCAATCAGACATAAAACCACTCTTTTTAAGTTGATTGAGTGAGCGATGGATCTTAAAGTGTCTTCTGTACTAGCAAAGTGATTAACCAATAAGAATCGCTGCTTAGGTTAATGTGTTCATTGTACGACAAACAAACTTACTGTCATTGTTGTGTTATGGAATCATGCTCAGATCGTTTAATGTAACAAAATTAACGCAATGTCCATGTAAGTTTACATAATTATCATTAATGATCACTGACCCTTTGAAGCTCTCAGTCTGGCACGTGTGCGCGGCGTAAAGACCGGCGATTCCGCATGTGAATGCAAGTAAGATCAGGGCAAACATGGCGAACAGCTTGATGAGATCAAAACAAGTCCTTTGGAAAGACACTAGCATGGTTCCAAACGTTTCATTGGCTGGCATGATGAAGGATATGCGACTCACGCTAAGGATGATTCCAGCAGAGAAAAGGACATCGGACAAAAGTTCCGGATCAGGTATCCAAACAGGTGTCCACTCGGCTTAAAGTAAATAACTACAGCTGATAATAATAACCAACATTTTCGTCAATTTGGTAGTAGGATTGTACAAAGGTTCGTGTATCACAGCTAATGAAGTGTTTATGTGTGACGGTTCGATGACTAGCATGATATAAGAATTCTCCTACCTTAAATCAAAATATAACCTCTGAAGCGTATGCATGTTTTATCAGTTGAGTCGATTCGGCTACACTACATTAGGAAGCGTACGATAATTTTTTTATGAATGTACGAAAGGAAGACCAAATCGAAAAAATCATTTGGCTACGCTTTTTTAATACCTGGTCATGAATTTGCAGTCCATGAAGCTCTTTCATGTTGATACCTCAGGAAATACACTAGCATGGTTGACGTCGCTACAACAGATAGTTAGTATGTCTGCAACACCTATTATTATGTGTCAATTGACTTTCTTGTTGCGAGAGCGTTTAACCCCAAAATGACTTACCAATCATTGCCAGCGTGGCAGGAGCCTGACAGTCTCGGTATGCCGTTGACATATTGTACACGTCACTGGAGTAACAAAACGGCAACATCGTCATACTAACGATGTTACCGGAAGCGTTCATAGTGGGCTGAAAGCGGTGGATCATCTGCCGTATTCGAATGGGAATTACCACATCCAATGTAAAGGAAGTCAACAGAAACGTCAGCATAAACGAGTCTACCAGGTTCCAGAGGGAAAGGAGGTAGTCCTGTGCACCGGCATTGTATATCTGCTTTACCTCCTCCCATATCAAACCTGTACATAAAATATAATATAATCCGATATATCCATATATACCGTCTATTCCGTCTTTGCGTATTGCAGAGTTGTCTTCTCCTGGGAGCAGGTATTGATTGTTACGTCATTTGTTTGTTAGAGTAACGTCATCAATTTTTGAGAAAACGACGTAATTTTCTCACACAGACCAATGACGTAACAATCAATCCCTGCTCCCAAGAGAAGATAACTCTGCAATATGCAAAGACGGAATAGTGTCATCACCATCTTCGGAATTCTTCGGAGGGGTTGCGGAGGGGTTGCGCTCACTTACGTTGTGCAGAGAACCTAAGCAGCGTAACCCCTGGAAATTGGTGGAAGGGGCCTGTATTATTTGCACTATCGTCTAAAGAAGCATTTACTTTCTACATTATCATCTACAAGATCCTGTACATTATCTCTCTTTTGTCTACTGTATTATCTACTGTATCAGCTAGTATACCGTCTCCATTTACATTACCATACAGTATCAGATAATGTCTACAGAAATTTATTTAGTCTATGGTATCGACTAAAGTATCATATTATAGCATCCTAACAATTTATAATATCATCTACAATCTACAATCTACTGTAGTATTACCTCCGATATTATAATTTACATCATCAACAGTATCATCTACAGTATCAGCTAGTATACCGTATCATCTACATAGAGGAGCCTATGTCGTTGACGATGATAATGTGGATGATAGGTAAAGGTAGATGATACTGTAGGTGATTAAATGAGAATTTACTGTATTACTAAAAAAGAAAAACAATTCCAAAATACACAACTGTCTGATGTGGGCATGTTGCTCGTTGTACAAGTAGGTATGTGTCATAAGTGTCTTTAATATATGTAACTTAACTTATAACATGATATTGTATTTCTGGTACATTATGATATATTGCTTGAATTATAACATGATATTGTATTTCTAGTACATTATGATGTATACATGTAACTTAAAAAAAAAAAAAACATAAAAAAAAACATTAAAAAAAAAGAAAAAAAAGAAAAAAAAAGTGTCTTTAACTGTTCATTTTCTACTAGAATACTACAGAATACAATACCGGAACTTGTATCACACGCACTGTCAGTGTTTGTGAATATCGCCAATACAAATATTCTTCGGAGTATGTATTCATATATACAGAGAAAGTGTACACTTACCAAAGATCCATAAGAAGACAAGACCGATAAGAATATAGGCAAAGAGTCCAGTGTCGTCACAGGCAATGGAGAGCCACACTGTAGAAAACTGGAGCTTACACAGGCAAATAACGATCAGGAAGGACAGATACGAACAGGTGTAACTGAGGAACCTCATCAAAGGGGTGTCCAACAGTATGGTTACCTGTAATTACAGATACAATATCATCAAAGGTGTGTCCAACAGTATGGTTACCTGTAATTACAGATACAACATCATCACAGGGGTGTCCAACAGTATGGTTACCTGTAATTACAGATAATATATCATCAAAGGTGTGTCCAACAGTATGGTTACCTGTAATTACAGAGACAACAGCATCACAGGGGTGTCCAACAGTATGGTTACCTGTAATTACAGATACAACATCATCAAAGGGGTGTCCAACAGTATGGTTACCTGTAATTACAGATAATATATCATCAAAGGTGTGTCCAACAGTATGGTTACCTGTAATTACAGATACAATATCATCAAAGGTGTATCCAACAGTATGGTTACCTGTAATTACAGATACAACATCAGCACAGGTGTTTCCAACAGTATGGTTACCTGTAATTACAGATAAAACAGCATCAAAGGTGTGTCCAACAGTATGGTTACCTGTTATTACAGATACAACATCATCAAAGGTGTATCCAACAGTATGGTCACCTGTAATTACAGATACAACATCAGCACAGGTGTTTCCAACAGTATGGTTACCTGTAATTACAGAAACAACATCATCACAGGTGTATCCAACAGTATGGTTACCTGTAATTACGGATACAATATCATCAAAGGGATGTCCAACAGTATGGTTACCTGTAATTACAGATACAACATCATCAAAGGTCTATCCAACAGTATGGTAGCATGAAATTACAGATACAACATCATCAAAGGTGTGTCTAATAGTATGGTTACCTGTAATTACAGATACAACATCATCACAGGGGTGCCCAACAGTATGCTTACCTGTAAATAAATTATAACATGCAACTACATATACGACCACATCAAAGGGCTATTCAATACCATTGTAACCTGTAAATAAAATATAACAACCAATTAAACATCCAACCTCACAAAGGGGTGTCCAATAGCATGGTAGTCTATAATTAAAATATAACATGGATTAAATATACATCCGCATTAGAGGCGTGTACAACAGCATGGTTACCTGTATTTAAAATATAACTTACAATTGAACATAAAACCTCATCAAAGGTGTGTCAAACAGTAAGCTTACCTGCAAATAAAACTTAATATTCCTTGAATTATACCAATGTATTTGTACGTTACTAAATGTTATTCCATCCTCATTACTCAACAGTAATTTCCAAATGTATCTTTTATATATTTCAGAAGTATTACATATTTCTCTAATATTCTCACAGTGCGGAGGATTAAAATAGGGACAACATGACATGCAATTAAATGCACTAAATAAGATAATATTCAACGGGAAGGCATCAAATGTAAGGTAACGTCAGGACATTTATTGACTAACCTTGCTCCACGGCGCCACGACATAGATGAGGGACAGGATTGGGAGGAGCAGGATCCCGAGGGGTATCGACAACATCAGATATTCAAATCTGTTGAGGTAGCGCATCATCTGTAGCCCACTGAACCAGCGTTCAGACACCTGGGCCTGGCACTTCACGTGGCCTACAAACTGAGAAAATAACGAAGTCCCTGTATACAATACAAACTATCTAGCATGGTTACCAAACTTAACTTCTGACTGGCAAATGAAGTGTTTTATATGCTGCAGTGACAGAAGAGACATAATTAAGGACGGAAACTATCTAAATCTATGCGTTTATTTATCTTTGTTATGTCTCAAAAGCTCATTAGCAAAACAATATCGTAAAGTGACAAAATGTAAAACATCGGCGAAATGTAGGCGTATTCAGTGAGGAACTAAAATGATTTTATTTTAGTAAAAAGGTAGAAAGGGAAAAGTAAATTTGTCAGCTCATATACGTGGACTATAACGAGGTCAGTATAACAAAGAAAAGCTAAGGCTCTCGTATGATCGTGTGTGTAATAAATCACATTACGTCGTCAAAATTACCCCGAGCCAAACCTTCAATTTCAGTTCAATCTTAATAAAAAAGACAATAGTAGAAATATACTATATTTTATATCGTTCTCTTGAGTTTATCACCTTTGGATCTGGTTGCTCACGGCCGTCAGATGTTCAAACACATCTTACAACGACAAGATGAGTTTGATACTGAAAATACGGTTCCTTAACACGACGTCACAATAGAACCTTTCTCAAGCCAGTCTCAATATTTGTGAAGAGACCAATTCGTCTCATAAGGGCACATTAGCAAAGATGGTGGCTGACAAAGGTATCAGTAACATCAGGATTGTACGTTTTATGTTTTACACGAGGTGGATGGGGCCTGGTGCCAGATCAAAATTCTTACAACAGCAATCATGGGTTATCCTACATAAAGGCAGGTCTGTTCAATTCTAGCTTTGAAGAATGAGACATTTTGAATTTGCGTCGCTCGCAAAACGACATGCATTTCAATTACTTCAGTCAAACCTTGATCTTTAAAACCGTTCATTATGACATATTATCATTAAATCTTTGTTGCCAGTACTCATCAGATAACACTGTCTATGCACATGTATACGGGCCTTGTAACAATAATCATCATGCTTTACAAGTTAAATAGTTGAAACAATAAGCGCCACTCATCGATGTAACAACAGGAAACTTACAAATCATTCGTTTGTCGTCTCTGCTCGCCGGTGTTTTGTTTGGTATTGCAGTACTTGTAGAGTTGCAAACATGAATTTAGATGTTATATAGATACTTGATAGCCAAATGTTATGATATTTATTTTACCGGAAGCATTTTACTGCATTCAAAATTTAAATTTCCAGTGTTTATAACGTTAATGCATGATGCGTGAAAGTTAAAAATTGTCACCGAGTCCGAGAAAAAAAGCTTGCTTTAATTAAGATTACTTAATAGTTTAATACTCGTCACATCAATGTCGAGCTCGGAATATTTCTTAACAACAGATGGGGTGTTTTCAAAATTTATTACTGCAAGCTTGCTTCAAATGACTGTTTGTCAAAACTCGTGAAGAATTACTAAAGGACCAATATCATTTTAAGGACGCTGCACATTGCGCGACCTGGACAGTTACAGTGTATCTATCAAAGATACCAGGTAGTAGACTCATTTAGTTGGGTTTTCCGTAACCTTGACAGCCATTCTTATCTCTGACTAGTGTCATGGTTTATAATGTTCAAACTTTACTTTATTATTAAATAATGCTGAAGTTAACCAGTTATCCTCTTATTTCAGAAACTCATTATGAATGAGTATATGTACCTTCCCTTCTGTTTCAACAGCAGATTACACCAACTTGGATTTCCACCTTTTATGCCTCTGGCATAGCACATGAGACGGATTTTACAATTATGTCTTTTGAGTAGTGGCATGGTTGATATACAAACTTTACTCATTATTGTTTTATTAGGTACAATCAAATCTGTGTGCCTTACGTTTTTCTTAAACTTATCAACAGATCCCATTGCTATTTAAATGTATGTCTCGCAATATAAAGAATACATAACTTACACTAGATGATCAATTCTTGTTTCAACAAAAACGTGTGTGCTATTTCATTTGATTACAGATTTGGTAATATACCACATCCCCCCAATAAAGACGCCTCCCCCACACTACTACAACAACAAAACAGAAGGGGGGATAATTTTTGGGAGGACAGCGATGTTTAAAAGTGAGTCCTAGACAAATGCTAGTCATGGAAAGACAACGAAAGTGTTACTTTGTTAATGTTAAAATCATTGAAAGCACTCAGCGCTACAAGTTGCTTCTTGACGAAGTGACATTATAACGAACCAATAAAGGCTAGTGCGTGTTATGGAACTCAGTGTAAGTATCCTCAGATGATATTTATATGTCACAACAGACTTTTTCAAAAATGAATTTTAACATTTACCTCAATATATGACTTGCTACTAAGGATACAACGGGGTCCAAAGGTACCAGGTAGAACACGGCTTGGTCAAAAGGTACCAGGTATAACACGGCTAGTGAGTAGCAATTACCTTTTTCTGTTCCATGCGCATCGCAAAAGACAGAAGGGGGAAGATATCTCCTTCGTTGAGCTGGAACCCTGATTCGCGGTCACCATCCTCGTCATCAGAGAAGGCTGTTCTGGCTTTGGCTCCGGACAGGATACACTTGACATCGTCTGACGACCGACAGTTGTCCATCAGGCCGAGGGTAAAGTTCTGACACTGTTCATCTAACTCCTGGTACGTTTTCTGTTACACAACCATTTGTAGGAATGAGTACTGTGTAGAGGGTAGGTATTGCAGTACAATACCGAAGTACAGAAGTATAACATTAATATCATAATGCAGAGAGTGTAGTTTAGGCAGTATTGTGATGCAGGTAACATTACGATGCAGCTGGTTGTATTGTGGTAATATTGATATATATTATTTCTTTATTAATGGTTGTGTTTTGCTAATATTGATAAAAAAATATATGGGTATAGATGGTTGTATAGTACCAATACTGTGAAGGAGAGAGTTGTATGGAAGGTAATATTGATACAGATAATTTTGTATGATATTAATAGAGAATGCTATAACTTGATATCATTACATCAATTAGAAACCTGTTTTTGTTGTTGTTGAACAAAATGTTCTACCAAAATACCCCTCAATATCGCAGCCGTCTTGTACCACAATCAATTAGTGAAATTCATAGCCATAATACTAGACATTCTGATGTTTCAACTATCGCTCCCATTCATTGTCATTCTAATGTGTATCAACGATCTTTCTTGTCCTCTGTTATCAATAATTGGAACTCTATACCAATGAATGTGAGGAGACACACTACCATTGTCAATTTAAATCACATATTAAACGCAACAGCAAAACACCTCCACCAAAACACTACTCATATGGATCACGATTAGGACAAATATACCATGCTAGACTATGCATGTCAAGCAGCTCTCTTAATGAACATTTATATAGGAAAAACATTGTTAGATCCCCTCTATGCGCATGCGGTAGCATCGAAAACACTTCTCATTACCTTCTAGAATGTACCTTATATGGCAATGAATCCTTATCTTTAGAAGATAGAAAAATAATTGTCCTCGCTGTTCAGGATTACATCCTTACGTCCAAGCGATTTCAACAACGTTAAAGTAATACAATATAATGATGATGTGGTTATTATGTATACATGCTATTTCAAATAATCATGGATTCTGAGTAGCTCAAATCATGTATCATACATACTATGTATGAATTAATGCATGTATGCATGCATGAGCGTGCGTGTGTGTGTAGGAGTGCATGCACTTATGTAAGTGGGTGCTCAAGTATGCATGCATGCATGTACACGCATGTGCGCAAGTAAATATCATGTATGCATTTACGTATGTATGTGTGTATGTATGTATGTATGTTGAAAAAATAGCAGTGAGTTATTAACATATGTAGTAATAATAATAAATCAATTGATTGTCTTCGAGTAAGATTCCTATTCCAGGATTTTTGTAATCATATACACATTGTAATAAGGTTATCTGTAAAGTAAGTCATGTGGATGGTCTTTCCCGATGCGAACAGTATAGTGGAAACTGATATACCAGGAGGAAAAGAATGAACAGGAGAACGACATGTTAAGGCACGGGATGTGACGAACAATTGATCAGTAATAGTGTATGGAATGTGAACAGTCTATCACAGCGACTGTCTGCGTAGGGAAAGACCATCCACATGATTATCATAGAGTATATTTTATATCAGCATTATTAGGCAGCTTGTCTATGTACGATCTTATTTATATAGATGTGTATATACTTTTCTTGAAATGGTCTGTAAATCAACGTTCAACCTTAACACTGTCCATTAACACCATAAGTTATATATGTAAATTGTTCTATATACACTGTATATGCACACTGTAACCAGTTTGCGAGAATACAACTTGTCATTGTCATTGGTATTATCTAAGAGCCCGAATTTTTGTTGTCAATTTTAATTAGCTTAAAATCGAATCGGATTGTAACCTTTCAATGTGTTAGTCCCGCTATAAAATACAATACTATTAGATATGTAATTAAATATGTTCGGTTCTGTCCATTTTACACATATATTAAAAAGTACTATATACACTTTAAAAAGGCACTGTTTATTTACACTGTAAGTAACAGTTTCCGCGTCCAGTAGAACAACGTGTCGAACTTACACATACCAGTGTCACGTGACAAAGTGACTCCAGTGACGAACCTACCCGGGATCCATTTTTCAACGGTAGAAATCTGACCTTCTGCGACAGTCAATAAAATTGAAACAGTGAAATATAAAGTACTCACAAATATTAAATGTTAGAAAACACGTACATCACCAAAAACTTTAAGAAAAGTGTTCTGTATAAACGAAAACATCACAACTCAACATTGGGACTTAATCTTCACGAATCATTATTTTCGCGAGCATGCTACAGTTAACCGACTTATTCGCGAAGAATTAAAATTGGCAAAAGTAGTCTTTGATTTACTAGGAATAATTCCTGAAAACATTCACGGTATACCATTTATTTACCAGTAACTGCCTGCTATCTTACCTGATTTTCCGTCTCTATCATCTGTAGACGTTTGAAACCTTTACTGAGGTGGAAGCACGCGATGATGGGGTCCTCCTCCGTGAGGGAGATGTAGGCAGGGCTAGCCAGGGCCCTAAACGTGTCCAGCCGATTGTTACAAAATACCATATAATCCCCTTCTCTGTCGTCAATACACTGGCGACAGGAGCAGAAGTAATCGTGGGGGATCTCTAACGAAACTGCCCTCAACATTATCATTTGTACAATCTGGAAGTTGTTCTTTATTGCAGCCCTCATCAGCGCTTCTTTTAACATTTTATCAACTTTCGTGACTCCCTCAGTGTTCTTTTCCACGATTTCTGGTGGTCGACTATTTTGCACGTCTTCTGGGTCATCCACATACAGATACACGTCAGATTCAACAGTGCGACGTCGATAAATTTGATGGCGTAGAAGAATTTCACAGAGTTCTGTTCGGTTGTTGTCCACAGCACAAAGGAGACCTTGGTGAATTTTAGGTCCAGACACTTTCCCAAATAAGAACAGAACCAGTGATTCTTTGCCAGATATGATTGCATGATCAAGACCTGTACGTCCAAGTGTGTCCTCACAATCTGGAGAAACGACGTCATTTTCTAGGACTTTTCTTACAACCGCTTCATCGCCGAGCTCAGCAGCGTCCAGGAATTCACGTTCAGATTCGCTAAGGCCAGGTCGTAACCTTTCTGCTAGGACATTCAAGCGGCGCTTCTTTTTGCAACTCATAGCTTGTAGATTTATCCACTATATAACAGACTATCCCAATACATACAAATATACTACAAAACCACTGTTACTATGAACACTGTCTGTCTACTTCAAATGGTGTAACTGAAGGGTCTATATCGAACGTCAACAGCGCTGTTGTGTTGTAAATTCCTTCTATAGATGTGTCTACAATCACAATTTATCTCACTGACTTTATCAATATTTTCAATGTAAAACAAATTTTGATTGGTCAATATTATTGTCCTATAGTACACTTGTTTGTTGCCGACGTCCGCTCGATCTATTGTAGCCGGGAAACGTCCCATCTGTTACACATGCATGTGATCCGCTTTTATATGTTTTATGTTAATGATAATTGATGTAAATTATAAGCCGGTCGTTCATTGCTACATGGTCTGAAGTCTAGATTAATATACTTCCGTGCTACTGACATTTTGACAAATTGGGAGGATAATTTTCTGTCGATTTCCATGGCAAACTTATGAGTAATTTGAATAAGGAGTTTTGTTACGGATCTGCCAGTCATTGACTTAGTAATGGAGACTATCCCCTCTCACGAGGTTATGACAGTTAAACGTGAATTACATTTAAATGAATATCATACCGAAGTATACCAATGAAACTAGTATCGAATCGTGGAAAAAAACACACATGAAAAATGGAACTTTTCTGTCATGCTAGTGACGTCGAAAATATCTTTGATAGTCTAATAGAATAATAGGTCACCTTGGATTTTCTAGCAGACAGATAAGTAGCAACAAGTGTTACTGCTGAGGCCAGTAAGGGGATTGTTCTTTCAAGTTGCTGGTCGTTCTAGAGGATATGTCAGTTAAAGCAAATGTGACAGACGTTGCGTACCATTTACATATTGCACCCTTGCCAGGTACATGTATACAAACATGTACATGGTTGGACCTTTGTGCTTAAAATGATTTAGATAGCCGTTACAATACTTGCATTAGAAGAATTTGATTACCAAGCTATTCTTAATAGCGATACAGAGCCTATTCACACGGAAAATTCTATGGTTTGGGGCTACCAGATGTAGGTACAAAAAACAGTACCAACCAAAGCAAAGACAGACGATATCTCGGAATGCACCATCAGATACCTTTACTCATTGCAATATCTATAATTTTATAAAAAAAAACACCACACACCAGCATGCCAGGCTGTCATCGCTTCAAAAGCTTCACAGGATTGCATCCATAATATATGACCAACTGTCCAACTGACGGTTACCTCGAATCTGAAGATGACGATAAATGTTTTAATGAAATCAACCCTCACAATATCCAATGTAACGAGATATCAAATACATGCGATTCCTGCAAAACAGACTTTTCACTGTTTAACCTCTTTTAACTGGATAAAACCGTTCATACAAATCCCTCCCGAAGATTACTTTGTTTGGACGTAATGAAGTTCCGTACATGTAATAATTGGCCTAGATGTATTAATTAAATTTCTGCAAATATCTCTTTTCAACATTTATTTTCGTTATAGGAGGGGTTTTGGAGATGGCCCTTGACCGCAAACAGTATTTAATCAAAATATGTATTGATAAAAATATTAGGATCCACATTTCTTTTGGGAAATGGTGTCTTATTGGGATTAACCATTTGATGATTGCCAAGTGGAGAGAGGCGGAGAAAATTTTCTGATAATTGGTGTTTTTAAGGTTCAAAGCCGAGCAGAGTGAGTAAAATCTTTAATACGAGGTTGACAAAAAATGTGCGGGTTTTTGTTGTTGTTAAAATGTGCATATGTCTGTGGTATGGGAAATGGGGAATGTTTTATGGAAGGTGGTGCGGACCATTATGATCCTTCCAGGATCCCCTCCATTTGGGATCCTCCCATGATGTGAATATTTATATTTACCGACTTTAGACAGCGAAGCGCACGGTTAAAGGGGGCCACCATGCCACTTGTAAATCAGTCAGAAAAGGTTTTACGTCAAAGAAAAAAGAAAACAGACCATAACTGTACACCATTTTCATCGATCACCCTACAGTGTATTATGAACACATTATCGCTATCAAAATTCACGACACAGTGACTAGAAATGTCAAACAAATGTTTCGCGCTATTACCTCGTACAAATTGGCAATCGTTTCGTTCCCCTGGCGTTGTTGTCATTCCAACGTTGTGTCCAGATACATGTATGTATTTATTATTGTGAGGAGAATTATGTATATGGAACGGTAGATCCGTGATTGTTAAGAATATATGCATGCATGTACATTGGTATTTAGTATATCTTTTAAAGAAATGTCGGACGAAATACCACAGGTGCTTCAATAAATGTCCCTCCTATTTATTTATTTTTTATATGAGCAAGATTACTACGTACATATGCAGGTACTATACCACTACAACTACCAAACCCCCTAACTAAATACCGACGTACCAACCTATTACAATGTAACTTACCTACTTAACTACATGTACCAATCAACCTACCTCACTAACAACCTACGTAGCTACTTATTACAATGTAACTTACCTACTTAACCGAAATACCTAACTAACAACCTACGTATCTAATTATTACAATGTAACTTACCTACTCAATTACCTGTGCCAAACAACCTCCCTAACTAACAGCCTACGTAGCTAATTATTACAATGTACCTTACCTACTTCATTACATGTACCAACCACCCTCCCTAACTACACGTAACAACCTACGTAGCTACTTACTACAATGAAACTTACCTACTTCATTACCTGTGTCAAACAACCTCCCTAACTAACAACATACGTAGCTACTTAATACAATGTAACTTACCTACTTAACTACATGTACCAACCAAAATGCCTAACTAACAACCTTCGTAGCTACTTATTACAATGTAACTTACCTACTGCATTACATGTACCAACCATCCTCCCTAACTACACGTAACAACCTACGTCGCTACTTACATTGTATTACAATGTTACTTACATACTTCATTACCTGTGCCAAACAACCGCCCTAACTAACAACCTACGTAGCTCCTTATTACAATGTAACTTACCTACTGCATTACATGTACCAACCATCCTCCCTAACTACACGTAACAACCTACGTCGCTACTTACATTGTATTACAATGTTACTTACATACTTCATTACCTGTGCCAAACAACCTCCCGAACTAACAACCTACGTAGCTAATTATTACAATGTAGCTTACCTACTTCATTACCTGTGTCAAACAACCTCCTCAACTAACAACCTACGTAGCTACTTACTACAATGAAACTTACCTACTTCATTACCTGTGCCAAACAACCTCCCGAACTAACAACCTACGTAGCTAATTATTACAATGTAGCTTACCTACTTCATTACCTGTGTCAAACAACCTCCTCAACTAACAACCTACGTAGCTACTTATCACAATGTAACTTACCTACTTAACCAAACTACCTAACTAACAACCTACGTAGCTCCTTATTACAATGTAACTTACCTACTTAACCAAACTACCTAACTAACAACCTACGTAGCCACTTATTACAATGTAACTTACCTACTCCGTTACCTGTGCCAAACAACCTCCCGAACTAACAACCTACGTAGCTAATTATTACAATGTAGCTTACCTACTTCATTACCTGTGTCAAACAACCTCCTCAACTAACAACCTACGTAGCTACTTATTACAATGTAACTTACCTACTTCATTACCTGTGTCAAACAACCTCCTCAACTAACAACCTACGTAGCTACTTATTACAATGAAACTTACCTACTTCATTACCTGTGCCAAAGAACTTACCTCATTATCAACCCACTTAAATACATACTCAATTGTATACTATCTAGCTACCTACAGTACCATCCTATCGATTAACCAATCTACCTACCCCGTCACAACCAACCTATCTACAATTTACTACCTACGTATATGAAGCCTCCAGTCTACCTTCCTGACTATTTTCAAACCTATCAATTCACCAACCTACCTCTCCTGTAACCCATAACCTACCTAACTTGTAACTACCACCAAACCTACTATCTACAAAGCTTCCTACCGACCTATTTAACTACCTACAGATATATCCTACCTAAATAATTTCCAATCAATCTCACTACCGACCTACTGCTATAATATAATCTACCTAACTACCTACCTACAATACAAAACTACCTATTTACCAACCTACTGACCCTGTAACTTCCTGCCTACCTATAAGCTACCTCCCTATCTTCTTACCTGTACTTAAATGTACCTACCTACATAACTACTGATCAACTACCTACTTGTACAAGGCTTGTCGTTCAGGATAAACTAAGTTGGCATTTAAAGCAATCACTTATATCGCATGGTATGTAATATACTATAAACTTCCAGTCACCTGACATGTGGTGTTCCCTCCGGACACCTAATATTAATGTTTTTCCGGATACCTGATATGTGATATTCCGTCCGGACACCTGATATGTGATGTTCCCTCCGGACACCTGATATGTAATGTTTTTCCGGATACCTGATAATTATGCGATATTCCCTCCGGACACCTGGAATGTTGTGTTGCCTTCGGAAACCTGATATGTAATGTTCCCTCCGGACACCTGCTGTGTAATGTTTCCTCCGGACACCTGCTGTGTAATGTTTCCTCCGGACACCTGATGTATAATGTTCCCTCTGGACATCTGATACACATGTACGTGATGTTCCCTCCAGGCACCTAATATTTAATGGGGGTTTTCCGGATACCTGATAATTATGTGATATTCCCTCCGGACACCTGGAATGTTGTGTTCCCTTCGGAAACCTGACATGTAATCTTTCCTCCGGACACCTGATGTGTAATGTTTCCTCCGGACACCTGATGTATAATGTTCTCTCTGGACTCCTGTTGTGTAATGTTCCCTCTGGACATCTGATACACATGTACTTGATGTTCCCTCCAGAAACCTAATATGTAATGGGGGTTTTTCCGGATACCTGGTAATTATGTGATATTCCCTCCGGACACCTGGAATGTTGTGTTTCCTTCGAAAACCTGACATGTAATGTTCCCTCCGGATACCTGCTGTGTAATGTTTCCTCCGGACACCTGATGTGTAATGCTTCCTCCGGACACCTGATGTATAATGTTCTCTCCGGACACCTGATGTATAATGTGCCCTCCGGACACCTAGTAGTTAATGTTCCATCCGGACACCTGATACGTAATGTTCCCTCCGGACACCTAGTATTTAATGTTCCCTCCGTACACCTAGTATGTTATGTTCTCTCCGGACACCTGATGTATAATATTCCTTCCGGACAACT